AACGCCCCCCCCCTCGCCCCCCGCGGTGCACGAGCGTCGATGAGGCGCCTGGGACAGGGCCGAACATGCAGCGCGCACCAGAGCGTCGGACGCCCCCCAGCCTGCTGGCCAGGCCCTCGGGGTAACGAGTGCAAAGACGGGCCCCCCGGGACGCGGAGCCAGCGGGGCAGGAGAAGGCGCTGGGGGCAGCCCTGAGAGCTGGAGGTTAGAGGGGAGGGCGGGAGGCTGCGGGGTGGGATATGGGGTGAGCAGGGGACTGGACGACGGGGGATAATTCCCTGCGAAGCACCTGGCCCCGGCCGGATACCGGGCTAGCCGGACCATTGGTCTGCCCCAGGACGGCCTGCAGCGAGGGGGTGTCCGGTGAGGCAGAGGGGGCTCAGGTGGGATGGGGGCAAAGGCTCCTTTGTTGTTCCCTTCCAAAGGAAAAGAAAGAGAAAGGAATGAGAGAGAGGGGGAGAGACCCAGGAGAGCTGGGGGGAGACAGACAGACAAAGGGGGAAGGCAGTGGAGCAGGTGGTGGTGGGGAGACGGCACCTCTGGGGGGCTTGTGCAGGGAGATCAAGGGTGAAGGAAGGAGGGGGGCAGGGCCAGGGGTTGTAGGGCCTGTCACTTGGAGGGCAGGTGGCTGGGCCTGGCTGATGAATTGTCTGCTTGGAGTTAACCCTTTGCGTTCCCCCCGTGCGTGCTGTTCTCTCTCTGGCTGGGGGAGGGGGGCGCCCGTTCTTTGTGAACTAGTTAGGGCATGTGGGCTGGGCGATCCGGGGGTGTCGGCTGTGTGTGTGTGTGTGTGTGTGGGGGGAGGAAATAAACACTAGGCTGTGGTTCCGAAATGGCCCATAGGCTACAGGCCGAACCGGCTGCAGGGTTGCCCTGTTACTCCTGGCTACTCCAGGGTTTTTCCTGAGCCCTCCCCTGCCAGACGGCGACTGTGTTGGCTGCGGGTTTGGCCAGGTTGGGCTGGTGCCGCTGCCGTGTCTAAAGGCCCCTTTACCCTCACTGAGCAGCTCTGCGATGCTGGGCAAACCGCTCCCCACAGAAGCGATGCCAGGAGATGCCCAGCCCCTGCTGTGGGCATCACGAAGCCAGTGTGAGCGCCTGGGTAATGCATCATACAGCAAGTGATTGGCACTGGTCTCCCTCCCTCCCCCCGGTCTCCCAGCTCGGGGCCACGCTGCCAGCTCCTCCCCCCGGGTGCCACGTGCCAGGCTCTGCCAGCGCAGCTCTGCCTGGGAACAGGGCGATCGCCTGGCACATTGCAGGGCCAGCTGATTGCAAACCTGCGTCTCCTGGCATTAGCTCAGCTAACTGCAAATCCCCTCCCTAATAAGGGAACCTAGCTGGGCTAATGCGGCCTTGCAAACGCTTCTAATGGCGCTAATGTTGTAATCCAGGGGGGGATTAGCTGCCCCACGCTGGCGTGGTTTTGGGAGCTCCTTTATCTGGGGTGAGAGCCGTGCCGGCTGCCCCACCAGCCGAGACAGGCCCGGGAATGTCCGCCACCAGGGCAGCGGCAGGTTGGTGATGTGGGACGGGGCCTCTGCTGCCGAGCTCTGGGCTGCCACCTCTTGTGCCCGGAGAGGGGGAGGGAGGAGGAAAGAAAAGGGAGCGATTGCAGAGGAAGGGAAGGGGAGGGAAGAGTGAGAGGGGCCCTGCAGAGAAGAGAGGGCGCATTGGAGTAACAGCACGGGCTAGGCCTGGGAAACCAGCTGCTGTGTGAACTGTATCCATACACCCCTGTGACCTGTCCGCCAGCCCCCTGCTATCCCAGCCCTGGGCTCCCCACTCCCTGAGCTCTGCTGGTGCCCCTCAGTCCCGACCCACAGCCCCTCTGCTATCCCAGCCCTGGGCTTCCCCCCTCCCTGAGCTCTGCTGGTGCCCCTCAGTCCCGACCCACAGCCCCCTGCTATCCCAGCCCTGGGCTCCCCCCTCCCTGAGCTCTGCTGGTGCCCCTCAGTCCCGACCCACAGCCCCCTGCTATCCCAGCCCTGGGCTCCCCCCTCCCTGAGCTCCGCTGGTGCCCCTCAGTCCCGACCCACAGCCCCCTGCTATCCCAGCCCTGGGCTCCCCCCTCCCGGGGCCC